CTCGCAATTCAAGCAGAAAAAGGGGTTTCCTCTCACAAGCAGTGATAAAACAAAGTGAAAGTTTTGCAAGTACAGGTCAAGAGGTAACAACTGTAGGTACTTGTGGTGTGAGAAATGCTCTTGGTTTTCTTTTTACTCATACTTTACTAGTCTACCTATCTTTCTCATTTATTTCAATCATTTTATATTTGCTCGAGTCGCAACGATGAACCCTCTAATTATCTGTGAGGAAAGTGTTCGCGAACGAGCAAATAGAATCAATGCACATCAAAAAAAGAGCCGATTTTATGAAGAGGAACCAATAGAGTCATGGTTATCACTGATAAGATAAGGCAACAAGTTCTGTGAGGTTCAATGGAGAGGAAACAAGATCAGATTGGGAATATGGGGAGCATATCTCAAAAACTAAAAAACCATAGAAAAAGTTGTCAAGTACAAAAATGTAAGAAATTTTATGAGCTGCATTTTCATAGCTTACAAAACTTTTGTAGGATTTTTAGTTTTTGAGATACATCAATTTGAAAAATCCTGTAGTCTTTTTTTCCATATCCCATTTTACAGGGCTCACTCATTCCTCGTTTTTCGTGAATTCTGATAATTATAAATATTGCCATAATGCATATTTATGCCATTTTGTACTAGTTTTGATTAAAAATTCGGGTATTTCGGGTACTTTCGGGGGAGAGGAAGGACAAAAAATGGATCAGGAAAATTAGAAAATGGCTTGTTGAGATTTTTATGTTTTTCGGAATTTATGTTTTAGTGGGAATTAAGAAATCCAAATTTTTAGATTTTAATTAAGATTTTAAATCGAAAAAAATAACATTTCCCCCGCCCACTAGGCTCCGCCCCCTTTCTTTCCTTTTGATTTTCAAAAAGAATTTTCTGCTAATACAAAATGACATATACATAGATTTATATAATATAAAAGGTACTCTATTTTCCTCTCTTTCTCCAGATTTATATTATTTCCTACATTGACTTTTCTCTCTCCTTCCATCTCTACCTTAATCCTCCCTTAATTATCCCCCATCTCCAGGGGGTACCCGTTCTAATGAGCATTTTGTTTTGGAGCACTATATCTTGGATGGTGAAAAAGCTAGAGCTTGAAAATCTATTTTATTTTGTAGAAAATTTGACGAGCTACAGTTGTGTACTTTATAAAAATTTTGGGACGTTTTTAGTTTTTGAGATATGGCGATTTTTCTAGGACTATCTTGTTTTTTTTTTTGGCTTAACTTTTTGTAACACCTGTAACTTTTGCAATTTTTTAGCGAATTAAATTTGGCCAACCAAGCAATGTAGAAAATGTTATAACCTACATTTTTATAGTTGAAAACTTTTTTCTAGCATTTTTAGTTTTTGAGCTATGCGCCTTTAAAGTTGGCGTGCGCGGAGACGCAGAGGAAGGAGACACACTGACTTCTCTGTGTCTCTTTAAAGGCGCATATTTCAAAAACCAAAAACGCTATTAAAAAGTTATCAACTACAAAAATATAGCTCATAAAATTTCTAACATTTCTGTAATTTACATCTTTTCTGTAGCTTTTTTAGTTTTTGTGATATGCACCTTTAAAGTTGGCGCGCGTTTAGAAGCAGAGAAAGGAGACGTCTCTCCATCAGGGCGCGTACTTTAAAGGCGCATAGCTCTAAAACTAAGATAGCAAGACAAAAGTGTTCTACTAACAAATTGTAGAAATTTTATGAGCTACATTTTTATAGTTAACAAAAACTTTATAAAACTTTTAGTTTTTGGGATACATCAATTTGAAAATCTATATACAGAAAATTGAAAATTCAGTTACAGTACCCCGATTTTCTCAAGGATAACAAACTTCTCGGTTGATTTATAAACTTTCCTAACATTTTAAGAAAATTATATTTCCCGAATTTCATAGAAAAATGTGCGGGAAATTGTTTATATGAGCAATGAGGAGAGAGAATAAAAGAGAAATTGATATCCCCATAGATTCCGGTTTATAGACTTCTTTTTTATTATTTTTTCTCATTTCCTGTCATTTTTCCAACTAGTCAGGTACTTATTATATGCTCCAAACGCTGAAAATTCCTTTTTGTGCCTTCCAATTACCGTATTTTCCAATAGCTCGCCGAAATTTGAAACTAGTGTTTTACAAAACGCCGTGTCTCAAACACTAAAAAAGCCACTCAAAGGTGGTTAATTACAAAAATGTAGCCCTTAAAATTCTACACATTTTTGTAATTGACACCTTTTTTGTAGTTTCTGTAGTTTTTGAGATATGCGCCTTTAAAGTTGGCGCGCGCGGAGAGACGCCCTCGTCTCTGCTCCTACTCCTCCTCCAGAGGCGCGTCCACTTTAAAGGCGCAAAGCTCAAAAACTAAGAAAGTTAACAAAAAGTTGTTAACTAAAAAAATGTGTAAAATTTTATTATCTACAGTTTCGTAGTTGACAAAAAATTGATACAATTTTCAGTTTTTAAGATACGGCGACTTGAAAAAAGGTGTACTTTTTTTTGCTTTTTTTGTCACGACTGCGGGTGCCAATACTTGGCCAAATTTCATGATTTTACAAGTGATGGCCGAGCCTCCCACAAGTCTTGGCCAAAGTATGCGCCTCCATGAGTCGTTGTGATGGCTTCCACAAGTCTTGGCCCATAGTCGGAAGGCTACAAGTCTTGGCCAAATTCTGATTATTGACTTTTCACCTTCGGACTCATCATTTGAGTTTTCAAATTGTTTTCTGTTTTTACCTATTTTCCTACTATTTTCATAAAGGTTTGAATTTTTAAGAAGGTCTTTTAATTTTTTTGGTATAAGAATTATTGAAGTTTCGAATGGTATAACTTTCAACATGACAGAACATTCAACTTTAACTCAAAAGAGCAAAACCGAAAAAGGATAAATGTGCGAGTCGTGAGCACATTGTGAGCATATCGTGAGTTATTATGAAGAGATATTTAGGTTTGAACAGTTCAATATTACAGAATTCGAACACTTGAATATACAGAATTTCGCCTCACGAAAACACAGGAGACAGAAGATGAAAAAAGTTAATTTCCTGCAAAATTCCATCAAAAAATTCTCCATCAAAGGTGGTGTTTCTGTCGACAAAGGATCTCTTTTTGAAGGTATCACACATTTTTCAAGGAACTTTAAAATGCTATGAAAACGATTCAGAGATTAATCGTGCATGTGCAGAGTGTCGCAGTGGAAAATGAACACGATTTCAGTAAAAAACAATGCTAGGAACTCACAAGAGTAACGTTTTTTAGGATTTGAAGACAATTCGAACTATGTAAAGAAGAATGTATTTGCACTGAACATTATGTAGATGCTTGGTTATCCGAAAGTCAGTTATGTCGAAACCAAACTGTGAAAATTTTTCGAAAAGCAAGTGATGGTATTAGTTCAAAGACTGAGAATTTTTTAAATCATCGTTTGTATTTCAGGTGCAAGAAATTGGATTGTAATGTTCTCGTCTAAAGGATACTTCAAAATACAAAGCAAAATTGAGGAAATGAGATGACTCGACTTGATTCGATTACACTGTCCTTGTCGATGAATTTCAACGGATTTCAAAGAAATGGAAACGAAGAGGCGGAAATTTTTTGTGATTTTAAAGGTGGGGGGACATGAAAAAAATAATGTTCTCGAAATTCCGTTCAAAGATGCCCCTCGAGGATTTGAACTTGTGAGGGCGATGATTGAGGGTGCGGCGCCGCTACCGACTGAGCCACGCGGGCAAAGAGAAAGCGCACGCCCGATTGCATACATAAAGGCGAGGACGACAGCTGTACGCAGAGTGACATTAAGCGTTGTACACCGTCACGGTAGAATGCATACTCTAGCTACAAAAAAACTACGAAAAATCTCCTGTCCCCCCACCTTTAATTAATTTTTTTCTCATTATTCGTTTTGTGTAGTGTTCTAATAAAATGTTGTAGTATATCTAATTCCAAATACAATCACAACAGAACAACAGGTTTCAATGAAAACACACAAAGCCACACACAAGTCTAGGACAAGTCTTCCACAAGTCTTGCACAAGCCTTCCATAAGTCTTGGCTAATACATAACTGTGCTAGACTTGTGGGAGGTCTGTCCAAGTATTGGCGCTGACAGCCGAGGTTCAAGACTCATCAATCTCGAGTCTTAAATTGTACGTTTCGATTCTTTCTTTGTCTCCAAGCTTTGAAAATTTGCATTTTCTTGACTCCTTCATTCTTTTTTCCTATTCTATTCTAGAACCCCTCCCTTTTTTATTTCCCAAAAAAAAATAGAAAATTTCAGCCAATTTTCCAGAGAAATGAGACGTCAATTATCGTCGTCGGTCAAAGACATGCATCGTGGAGTACCAGCAATCCCATTCGAGTCATATGAATCCAAGAACTCTGAAAACCCCTTCTATATTCCAAATCCACCCAAAAAAGAGGAGCGAATTTGTCGATTTCCGATTGGCAATAGAACCACAGATACCAGATGCAAAATTCTGGATGAAATCACTTTTTTCATGCCCAACACCTGTGATTTTGACGATATTGAGAATCGATCAATGTGGTGTGTGAGACGACTCAGGGTGAGTTGGCTTTAGTTTGGGCCATATCTTAAAAACTAGAAAAGCTAGAAAAATTATGAAAAAGGCAACATGTGTAGAATTTCATGTGCTACATTTTTGAAGTTGACAACTTTTTTGTAGCTTTTTTAGTTTTTGAGATATGCGCCTTTAAAGTTAGCGCGCGCTCCGATAGGAGAAGAGACGCAGAGAAAGGAGATACGCTGACTTCTCTGCGTCTCTCCAAGCGCGCCGCCCGAGCGCGGCGTCTCTAGCGAGCACAAAATAGCGCTAACTTTAAAGGCGCATATTTCAAAAACCAAAAACGCTATTAAAAAGTTGTCAATTACAAAAATGTAGCCCTTAAAATTTTACACATTTTCTTAGTTTTAAAAACTTTAATAGCTCAAAAAATAAGAGAAAAAAGAGTTCAAAAAGTTAATTTAGCTAACTAGGAAATCATACTTTCTTGGGCTTCAAAGCCAGCAGAATCTTAAAACCATGAAAGTGTGTGAATTCGAAAATCTTAATTTTCAGGAAAAAATCCGAAATTTGAATAACTGTGAGATATTATACCTTTTTTCAAAACGCTATATCTCAAAAACTAAAAATGTTATCAAAATTTTGTCAACAACGAATGTGTAGATTATGAAATTTCACATAATTTTGTAGTTTACTACTTTTTGATAGCGTCTTTAGTTTTTGTGATATGCGCCTTTGAAGTTGGCGCGCGCTGAGCCTCTAGACACGCCGACGTCTATGCGACTCTGAGCGCGCACACTATTTAAAGGCGCATATCTCTAAAACTAGAAAAGCTAGGAAAAAATTGCAAACTACAAAAATATAGCTTGCAAAATTTCCTACATTTTTATAATTTTTAAAATCTGAACATCTTCAAAATTCGTAAAGTTACAAGCGTATAATTAGTTTTACTACTTTAAAATTTTCAGAAAACTGTATCTTTGTCAGTTTTGCAGATATAAAAAATTTCAAACTACAGAAATATAGCTCATAAAACAATTCTTTAGTTGAAAACTTTTTTCTAGATTTTTTGGTTTTTGAGATATGCCTTTGAAGTTAGCGCGCGCGGAGACGCCTTCTCTGCGTCTCCATCGGCGGCGCTTCTGGCGGAGTCTCTAGCGAAAACAAAAGAGCGCTCACTTTAAAAGCGCATACCTCAAAAACCAAAAAATTTGGAAAAAAGTTGTCAACTGCAAAATTATAGCTTATAAAATTTCCTACATTTTTTTAGTTGTTAAAATTTTTCTAGCCTTCTTACTTTTTGAGATATGCGCCTTTAAAGATGAGAACGATATTTCAGGAAATGATAAATCTCTTTGTCGACTACATCGAACAAAACTTCAAGGATACGATTCCAACGAAAGGTCGTCGAGAGCTTCCGATGTTTCCAGACGCATTTCATAAAACGATTCAAGACGTTGGATTTGTATGTTGGGGCGTTTTTCGCCTAGATGTGGATTATGTCAACTTGTATACTGCTATTGTGAGTTTTTGGTCAATCCGATTTTAAAGGCACATAACTCAAAAACTAGGAAAGCTTGAAGAAGTTTAAAAATTAGAATGAATTTAAAATATTATGGGCTACATTATTGTAGTTGAAAAGTTTGTTTTAGCTATTTTGGTTTTCAAGATATGCGCCTTTAAAGTTGCCGGGTGCGGAGACGCAGAGGTGCAGTCGCCTAAGCCGACGCTAACGCTCATAACTCGGCTCAAAATTGAAATTTTTTTTAAAATCCAAAAAGGAAAATGTAGAACTTAAAAAGAGCTACAAAATGATATAACATGCAACTACAATAGTATACCAAGTTTTAAAGCATAAGCTATAAAACAGTCAGGTCACCAAAAAAGGAATCCATATCGCCGACGGCTCATAGCTCAAAACTCAAAACTTGAAAATAGTTGAATGTTTAATCATTTTGTAGCTTTTTTAAAGTTCTTCATTTTTCATTTTGAAACTCACAAAAATACTCATTTTGAGCCAAGTTATGAGATTTTGAAAAAAATCTGGTTCCAAAAAATTTTCAAAAAAATAACTTTTTCCAAATTTCAAAATTTTCAGACCGAAAAAAAGTTTCAGACCCAAAGTTCCTATATTTTTAGCACCGCTGCATTTTGGTGTTTGATCCAACATGCACCTTCAAATATCTAGAAGCTTCTGAAGACCTCTCCAGAGACGACGCCTTCTTCAGAGCTCGGCAGGAGAATTTGGCGTTGAGAAATTTGTCCGAGAAGCGATTTGATAAATTTTTTTGAATTTTCAGAGAGCAAGTGCGCTCTATTGGACTTTTCTAGGGTTATCTATAGAGCGCATTCCCTTCATTTTTCTTATTTTTTGAAATAAATTTTTTTCGAAAATTTCCAATGTTTTTTTTTTTGAAAAAATTCTGTTTTTTTCACCCCCCCCCCCCCTGAAAATCTGAAAATCTCTGGAATCATTTTTTTCTGCTCTTTCAGCGCAAAAACTAGAAAATAATCACATTTTTCATTCAAATCCCCTTGTCACCAGACTATGAGAAAAAAAGGAAATTAGATTTTTTTTGCTTTTTTTGGAAGTTTTTCCCACAAGTTGTATTATATCACATGTGATAATTCTCATGGATTATCCCTTTTCCCTTTTTTTTTGAAAATTCCCAAAATAAACTTTTTTGGTTTCTTTTTTCCCTAGAAGATCAGGAAATTAAAAAATCATGCGATTTTTTGGGATAGCTGAATTTAAAGGCGCATTTCTCTAAAACTAGGATGGCTACTGAAGTTTTGTTAACTATGAAAATGTAGTGCATAACATGTTACACATTTTTCTAGTTAGCAATTTTTAAATAGCTTTTCTAGTTTTCGAGCTATGCGTCTTTAAAGTTGGCGCGCGCGGAGGCGCGTAGGCTGTGTTTCTGCTCCCCCTCATCTAGTGGCGCGTCAACTTCAAAGACGCATATCTCAAAAAATAAGAACGCTAAAAAAATTTTAACAATTACAAAAATGCGTAGAATTTTCTGAGTTACATTTTTGTAGTGACCCAACATTTTTTTATCTAGTTTAGTTTTTGAGATATGCGCCTTTAAAGTTAGCGCGCGCGGAGCCTCTCATCTAGTGGCGCGTCAACTTCAAAGGCGCATATCTCAAAAATTAATAACGCTATCAAAAATTAATTTACTACAAAAATGTGTAAAATTTCAAGAGCTACATATTTTTAATTTACTAAATTTTAATAGCTTTTTTGGTTTTTAAGATATGCGCCTTTAAAGTTGGCGCAAAAGCGGTGTTTCTGCTCCCCCTCATCTAGTGGAGCGCCAACTTTTAAAGCTTATATCTTAGAAACCAAGAAAGCTTAAAAAACCTTTGTAGCAATCAAAATGTGTGAAATTTCAAGAACTACATTTTGTAGTTAACAAAATCTTAATAGCATTCTTAGTTTTTGAGATATGCGTCTCTAAAGTTAGCGCGCGCAAAACGCAAAAAAAATAAGCCTACTCTAAATTTAAAGGCGCATATCTCAAAAACTAAAAACGCTATCAGAAAGTTGTTACCTATCAAAATTTGTAAAATTGTATATGCTACATTCTTGTTGTTAATACTTTTCAAATAGCTCTTTTTATTCTTGAGATATGCGCCTTTAAAGTTAGCGCGCGCGGAGCCTCTCATCTAGTGGCGCGTCAACTTCAAAAGCGCATATCTCAAAAACTAATAACGTTATTAAAAATTAATTAACTACAAAAATGTGTAAAATTTTAAGAGCTACACTTTTGTAATCAACAAATTTTCAATAACTTTTTTAGTTTTTGAGATATGCCGCTTTGAAAAAGAAAGGTCGATTTTTTTTTCAAAAGTTCAACTATTTTAGGATCTCCTGAAACCTTATAATTTTCTGAAACTTTGAAATCTGAAATCTCTCAGAATTTTAGATTTTTTAGCTACTTCAATATACTTCCCCTTGTTTTGTCATAATCCTTCTTTTTTTGTCCCCATCATTCTTGACCTTATTAGCTAATTAATCCTCATTTTTCTTATAAAAATAGGAAATTTGAGAAATCGAAAAAAAGAAGCATAGGATCATGTGAGGCATAACTTATATAACTTTTTTTTTGTTAGAAAAATATACTAATCCAAATTCCATTATGTGTTTATCCTTAAATTCTCATGGACAAAATTTCTACTCTGAATGTGAATGCTCCCAAAACGCCACCTCTCTTACATTACCTTCAAGCTTAGTTATCTGGGTTACTGTAAGAGGTATCAAAAATTAATAAACTGATAAAATATGGGCATATCATGATAAAAATTTTATCAGTTTACGAATTTTTGATATCTTTTACAGGAATCGAGATAATTGACCTCAAAGTTAAAGATCAAATTACAACTTTATGAGATTTCTAGGTTCTTCCACTTTGAGCTCAATTATCTGGGTTACTGTAAGAGACATCAAAAACTAGTAAATTGATAAAATATTGGTGATAATATGATAAATATTTCATCAGTTTGCCAATTGTTGATATCTTTTAAAGGAACGTAGCTCAACTGGTAGCGACGCGGCACCTCCAAAGTTGGGCTCACAAGTTCAACTCCTCAAGTGCCGAATTTTAGAGAACATTATCTTTTTCATAGTTTTTGCCCTTTTTTTCCTTTTTCCCTTTTCTCATCCATCCCATTATTATCCCGTTTTAATCCGCTCTAATGGGGTGGTGTGAAGAAAAGTGGGCGGAGCCTAAGCAACAAAACGAGGCGGGAGGCTTATGAATTCATAATGCGGGGCACATACACTCACACACTTTTTTCTTTTTTTTTCGCTTTTTTTGCCCTGCCATTATCCCTGAAGCATTAATTCCGGAAATCCAGATGTTCAGTAAGCTTGAAATTGGAAAATTCTGAGATCTGAAAATATAGAAAATTTGAGAATCTAGGAATTCTAGAAATTGAGAAAAATGAACATTTTTGGAATTTTGGGAAAAAAATTGTGTTGAACATTTGCTGAAAAATCTGAAAATCCAAGATTCTGAAATCCTAGTGAATTCAAAACTTCAGAATCTCAAAAATTCCCGAAATTTCAAAATTCCCGAATATTCAAAAATTCAAAAATTCAAAAATTCCAAAATTCAAAAATTCAGAATTTCAAAAATTTAGAAATTCAATAATTCAAAAATTCAAAAATTCAGAAATTCTAAAATTCTAAAATTCAAAAATCAAAAATTCAAAAATCCGAAAAATTCAAATACTCAAAAACTCAAAAATTCAAAAACTCAGAAATTCAGAAATTCAGAAATTCGAAATACGAAAAATCAAAAATTCAAAAACTCAAAAACTCAGAAGTTCAAGAAATTCAGAAATTCGAAAATTCAAAACTTCAAAATTCTAAAATTCTAAAAATTCTAAAATTCTAAATTCTAAAATTCTAGAATTCTAGAATTCTAAGATTCTAAAATTCTAAAATTCTAAAATTCTAAAATTCTATAATTCTAAAATTCAAAGAAATAAATCTTTGAAAAATTGAGAAACCTTAGGCTCCACCCACTTTTCCGAAGCTCCGCCCCCTTAAGTTTTCCCTCCCTTCACTTGAAATCTCTACAAAATAAGGAAAATTTCTTCAAATCTTCAAAAATAAGCTCCGCCCACTTTTCTACCTAAAATTCTCTGACTTTGAATCTACAAAAAAAACGTTTTTCGAATTTTCAAAAAGCGAAAAATCCAAAATAGGCGCCGCCCCTTTTTAGTTCATTATTAACTTTTTTCCTCAATTTTTCTCCTCCTTTTCTCTGGAAAACATCCTTCATAGTCTCTATTTTTCCCCTGTTTTCTCTATTTTTTCTCTCTCCTTCTTATTTCTCTGCGTCTCCCACTCTCTCTCTCTCTCCTTCTGGCTCGGCGAGCTCTGGCAAAAGTAGAAGACGAGGA